GGGGCCCCCAGTACTTACATCGTCGTACAAAGAGCCGCTGATGTCAGCCCCGTAGATGGGCGAGACAAAGGTGAGGTTCTTCCAGTACTTGCGTTCCAGGTCGTCGAAGTCCTGGTGCCGCGGCGTGCAGTACCTGTGAGCAAACAGCAAGGGGAACATGGGCCAGGGGCTCAGAGCGTGCGCCTGATGCTCCCCGCTCCTCGCTGAGCCAGCCCAGGGCGCCTGCTGGGTACACACCGAGGGAGGGGCTCTGCTCAGACCACCTGCTGTCTGCACCGCAGGGCGCAGCCCCCGAGGACGAGGACACGAATGTACTCGACTGCTGCAGGGAGAGCGCTCCCTCCAGACGCTGAGCGCGTACCAGACAGGCCAGCGGCCCTGCCTGGAACAACGCTCTCACCCCATCGCATCGGCCACTGGGCCTGGGGCACCCAAGTCACAGTGCACACCAGGGACAGCTGGAGCAGATGGAGGGGCACGGGCTCTGACGGCTCTCGTCATCCCGCTGATCGGCAAATACCACGGCACCGATGACAGGCCAGGACCTGTCCTAGGCGCTGGGGACAGCGTGTGAGTGAGCAGACAATGCTCTGCCCTCACGGGACACTTATGTTTGAGAGCAAACGCACCGCCAGAAACGCACAATCTCAGAGAGCGAGGGGGGCTGCGAGTAACCAAGCACAGGGAGGAAAAATTGCGGTGGTGTGTCAGGGAGTGCACCCTGTGCTCACCAGTGACCACAAATACGCCACAAACGCGCCTGTGAGCACGCGGCAGTGTGTGCGTGTGCCTGTGCCCTGAATGCACACGATGCACCTGTGAGCACACGGGCGTGTGCATGACAGTGCCCACGCGTGTATCGTGTTGAACGAGGATGCACACAAGAGGTGTGTATGACAGCCCCTCTATGAGGAGGCACCATGAGAGCCGAGACGTCATGGGAGAGTGTAGAGTATACACTCCAGAGGCAGGGGACAAGTGTGAGCCCCCAGGGCACAGTCCTCAGCAGTGAGTGCTGAGGGCAGCGTGAGATGGACAGCGTGGCCCCAGGAAGGGTGCGGGTCCAGATCTCGCCCTCTCTGAACCGGGTGTCTCTGAGTGCGGGTTGCCGAGACCCCCGGGGCACCCAGGGTGGGCCGTGCATGCTGCGTGGGGCTGCGTGTGCTCTGGTGGACTGGGCTTCGCTTCAGGAGGTGCAGCGGCCTTCGAGGTGTGGCTCCGCCTCAGAGCCGGGGTTTTGGGGGGCCCACCCCACACCCACTCGCGTGCTGGCCACATACTTCTCGCTGTTGGCCAGGCGGCGATACTCCCCGACCGTCATGGCCTTCTTCTGGATGTTGTACTGCGTGAACAGGCCCGACTGGCCCGTCACCACCTGCTGGATGGGGGCCGGGATGACCACATCGTCTATGTCGTCGTACGTCTGCCGTGGCTTCCACTCCTTTGGGGGGATGATCTGTGAGACCGGAGGGGAGTCAGTGGTGCCTCCAGGCAGAGGACATGCTAACTTCTCCTGAGAGACTAGCAGCCGCCACCCGGAGAGCACACTAGGGCCTGACCCACGGGGGCACCAGGAACCATCTGTACCTCTGCCAACCCCAGGAGACCTGGCACCAGCGGCCTAGGCCCCACCCACCAGGGCAGAGCAGGGCCGGAACTTTGCAGGCCAGAAGGGATTAGCAGGATATAGTTAAAATAATAAAAACCCAGAACCTACAACCAAGATTACTCTACTCAGCAAAGCCATCATTTAGAATGGAAGGACAGATCAAGATAAAGAGCTTCGTAAGAAAACGCTAACACAGTTCATCACCCCCCAGCCAGTATTACAGGAAACGCTGGAAGGTCTTCTTTAAGAAGGAAAAAATACGTATCAAAAAGAAGGCAATAGAACAGCAATAACTACATATCTATCGACAAGTACTTCAAAGGAAAAAGAACTAAGTGCTCCAACCAAAAGATGGGGTGGCTGAATGGATAAGAAAACAAGACCCCTACAGATGCTGCCTACAACAGACTCACTTCAGATTAAAAGACACACACACAGACGGAAAATAAAAAGATGGAAAAAGATATGTCACGACGGACCTAGCGGGTACTGGCGCCGAGTGGAGTCGGTCAGACAGAGAAGAGAAATGGCATGATTTCGTGCCCACGTAGACGCTAAAGACCAAAACAACAACAACAACAACAAAACAGAAAAAAACTCATAGATACAAAGAACATGTGGAGGGTTACCAGAAGAGAGGGGGATTAGGGGGGATTGGTGAGAAACGGGAAAGGAATTAAAAAGTACAAATTGGTAGTTACCAAACAGTCATGGAAACAAAGTCGAACGTAACGAATATAGCCAATAATATTGTAATAACTAAGTACACTGTCAGAGGAGCACTAGGTTTACTGGGGTGATCACTCTGCGAGTTATATAGATGTCCGATCACTGTTGTGCACCTGAAACCAATGTGACATTATATGCCAACTACAACTGAAAGATAAACAATATCATTAAAAAAAAAAGGACCAAAGACCTGAACAGACACCTCACCAAGGAAGACACACTGATGACAAATAAGTACACGAAGAGATGCTCCACGTCACACATCATCAGAGAAATGCATATGAAAACTACGAGATACCACCACATTCCTATCGGCATGGCCGAAATCCAAAACACCAACACTACCAAATGCTGGCGACAACGTGGAGCAACTGAACTGTCACTCACTGCTGGTGAGAATGCAAACCTGTGCAGCCACTCCAGGTAAACTGAAATGGCGGCCAGCGATTCATGTGGAGACCCAGGCGGCAGTCCCATTTTCCCGACACCTTTTGGGAAACACAGCCCCCCGCCTGCTCTAACGGACACCTCTCCGAGCACCCAGGAGGCCCACA